ATATCTGGTCTTGTACAGCTCATTAAGTACATAAGACTGTCAATCACTCTAGCATACTCCACCTGGGATATGCTTTCCCCTCTATTTTTGGACAGATGTTGACTTATATCAATAGGAGTTCTGGCTATATCAGAATCATCATTGTTAAACTTGTCAAGTATCTTATCCACGTAATGTGACTGAGTCAATATGAGACCATCAGGCACCCTTTTGATTTTGATCCCCAAGACCACATCAGCCGGTCCCATATCTTTCATGTCAAACCTTGAGTTCAACATGTGTTTAGTAGATCTGACCATCCGATCATTACTACCTACAATTATTATGTCATCTACATACAGACAAAGCATGACATAACCATCGTCGATTTTCTTGACATAAACACATTTGTCACACTCGTTGATTTTGAATCCATTTGACAACATAACATCGTCAAATTTATTATGCCATTGTTTTGGTGCCTGTTTTAGTCCGTACAAAGACTTCACCAATTTACAGACTTTCTTGTCTTGTCCTGGAGCTACACAACCCTCAGGTTGTTCTATGTAGATTTCTTCTTCGAGATCTCCATTTAGAAAGGCTGTCTTCACATCCATTTGATGAACTTCAAGATTCCGCAGCGCAGCAATCGCTAATATCATCCTTATAGATGTTATTCTCGTCACAAGAGAATACGTGTCAAAGTAATCAAGGCCTTCTCGTTGTCTATAACCTTTTATTACTAGTCTAGCCTTATACTTGTCAATAGTTCCATCTGTCTTCATTTTTCGTTTAAAAATCCATTTAGAACCTAGTAGTTTATTTCCGGGTGGAAGGTCTACTAGTTCCCAAGTATGATTTTATAAGATGGAATCAATCTCACTTTTTATAACTTCTTTCCATAAAGGACCCTCAGTGAGCTCATAGCTTCTTTATATGTTTGAGGTTCAGACTCTAGCATATAAGTTAGAAAATCCGGTCCGAAAGACTTTTCTATCCTTGCCCTCTTACTTCGTCTAGGCTCTTCCTCCGTTTCCACATTTTCATCATTTTCAGAATTTTGACAACAATCTTCTATGATAGTCTCAAAAGTTCATTTTGATGAACTTGGCTCATCTTCCTTAGTCTTACATGGAAATACATGTTCAAAGAACGATGCATTCCTAGACTCTATTATCATGTTCTTGTGTATGTCAGGGTTTTTAGACTCATGCACAAGGAACCGATATGCGGTACTATTATGAGCATACCCTATGAAGATTCAATCAACCGTTTTCGGACCTCTCTTCATCTTCTTTGGTGTTGGTGCCATTACCTTGGCCAAACACCCCCACACTTTCAAGTATTTGTAGGAAAGTTTCCTTCCTTTCCACAATTCATAAGGGGTTTTATTGACTTTCTTACGCGGAACCTTATTTAAAAGGTAATTAGCAGATAAAATGGCTTCCCCCCACATGTTCTGTGGCAACCCAGAACTTATTAACATTGCATTCATTATATCCTTTAAGGTACGATTTTTCCATTCAGCAATGCCATTCGATTGGGGAGAATATGGAGGTGTGACTTCGTAAATAATTCCATGTTGTGCACAAAGCGCACTAAATGGTTCAACATATTCACCACCTCGGTCCCTTCTTACCATCTTAATCTTTTTATTAAGTTGGTTTTCAACTTCTTGCTTGTAGAGAACAAATTTCTTTACAGCTTCATCTTTGCTTTTCAACAAATATACATAGCAATACTTTGTGCTATCATAAATGAAAGTGATAAAATACTTATTACCACCTCT